ACTACTACTACTATACCTACCTACTACTATACGACTACTACTACTACTACTACTAATACTACTAATACTACTACTAAGATACTACTACTACTACTATCAATTACTACTACTACTAATACTACTACTTACTACTACCAATACTAATACTATACTACTCTACTTACTACTACTACTTCTACTACTACTATACTACTACTACTACTACTACCACTACTACTTCTACGACTACTACTACTACCTACATTAATACTACTACTACTACTGCTACTACTACTACTACGACTACTACTACTACTACTACTACTACTACTACGACTACTACTACTACTACTACTACTACTACTACTACTACTATTACTGCTGCTACGACTACGACTACAAGTACCACTACGACTGCTACGACTACAAATACTAGTACTACTACGACTACTACGTCTACCAATACGGCTGTAACTACTACGAGCAATGTGCAGTGCTACTGGGTAGCAGTAGCTCTAGCAGTGTGTTGCAATCATCAGGATGGCAATCAACATCATCATTATCAGCATCATCTCGTCATCAACATCAGCAGCACTGTCATCATTCATGACCGACACCGTCAGCATCGTCATGAGCATCGTCATCATCAGCAGCATAAGCATCGTACCCGTCGTCGTCACAATCACTGTCCTTCTCCTCATCATCGTCGTCACCATCAACATCAACATCATCATCATAGCATCACCATCAACATGATGAGATCCGTCATCCTCAGCATCGTCACCCCCATCAGCATCATCAACGGAAACAGCATCACCATCATCAGCAGCAACATCATCAGCATAACCACCACCACAATCGTCCAAATCAACAGCGTCAACAACTTTACCCTCAACATCATCAGCAGCAGCATCGTCATCATCAGCACCAGCAGCATCACCATATGATTCACCAGCATCACCAACACCACCATCATCGTCATCACAATCAGCGTGATCGTCGTCATCAACATGATCATCCCCGTCATCATCAGAATCCACCATTATTACCAACATCGCTCCACCGTCATTACCAACATCATCAGCATCAACAACAACAACAACAACAACATCAGAATCACAAGTATCAAGAACCTCATCTTCGTCATCGTCATCGGCGTTGTCGTCTTCGTCGTCGGCGTCGTCGTCGTCGTCCCTGCTCGTCGTCCTCATCCTTCTCCGCATCCCCCGCCTCCCCATCCCCCTCAAGAATCGGCAGATGCACCCCTCTCGCAGAGCGCTCGTGGCCTCAATTTCTAAAGGAATACAGCCGTGGCGATGAGATGGACCCAAAGAGGCTACAACAACAACGCATCCAGAAAAAACTTGGGACCGATCCTCCTTCCCCGCCTCTTCCTCCTCCTCATCTTGCGCATCCTCCCTCTCCTCCTCCCTCCTGCTCCTCCTCCTCCTCCTCCATCTCCTCCTCCTCCTCCTCCTCCTCTTCCTCCTCCTCCTTCTCCTCCTCCTCATCCTCCTCATTCCCGCCTCTTCGGTCCTTCTCCTCCCTCCCCCCTGCCCCCTACCGTCCCCCTCCTCCTCCTCCTCCTCCTCCTCCTCCTCCTCCTCATCCTCATCCGCCGCCTCCGCCGCCTCCTCATCCTCCTCACGTCCTTCCTCCTCCTCCTCCTCCTCCTCCTCCTCCTCCTCCTCCATATCCTCTTCCTGCTCATCATCATCAGCATCATCATCAGCATCATCAGCATCATCATCATCATCATCATCATCATCATCATCATCATCATCATCATCATCATCATCATCATCAGCAGCAGCATCAGCATCATCAGCATCATCATCATCATCACCACCATCATCATCATCATCATCATCATCATCATCATCATCATCATCATTCTCATCCTCATCCTCATCCTCATCCTCAGCATCATCATCATCATCGTCATCAGCAGAATCAGTATCAGCAGCATCAGCAGCATCATCAGCATCATCAGCATCATGAGCATCATCAGCAGCACCATCATCATCGTCAGCATCATCAGCATCATCACCATCATCATCATCATCCTCATCATCCATTGTCATCATCAACATCAGCAACATCAACATCATCATCATCCTCATCCTCATTATCAGCATCAGCGTCAGCATCAGCATCATCAGCATCATCAGCATCATCATCATCAGCAGCATCATCAGCATCAGCATCAGCATCAGCATCAGCATCAGCGTCAGCATCAGCATCATCATAATGATAATCATCATCAAGATGGTCATCATCGTCATCATCAGCGTCATCAGCATCATCAGCAGCATCAGCAGCATCATCATCGGCAGCATTATCATAATCATCATCATCATCAGCAGCAGCATCGTCATCATCGCCATCATCCTCATCACCACCATCAGCATCATCATCACCATTATAATCGTCATCATCTGTAGCATCATCATCATCATCATCATCATCATCATCATCATCATCATCATCATCATTATCATCATCATCATCAGCATCATCATCATCAGCAGCATCATCATCCCTTCGAAAATCGTACCCTTGGCATATCCTGGGGTGCGGTTTGTCCAGATTTCCCCCAGGAATCCAGCCGCGGCAAAGAGGACGCCACAGGAGCCCGAAAAATATCAAATAACCTGGATGCTAGGTGATACTCAGCGATACAGAAGGCACATGCCGTAACAAGCACAACACAACAAGAGCACCAGGAGCCAAATGCGGATGTCGCTGCAAAAATCGTCGAACGTCTAATCCAAAGAGCCCCGCACCCCAGCACTCTCCTCTACCCAACCCTCCCTCCAACCCTCAATGGCTTTGCTGCACTGGTGCACAGCAGGTCATGCGAAGGATCACGGAGGGAAGGAGCGAAAACCTTGATCCTCCTCTGCATCTCTTGATGCAATCCTCGACCCTCGATCCTCCTCCGATCCTCCTCCCCCCTCCCCAGCTTTCAACGTAGTCATCCTCAATCCTCCTCCTCCTCCTCCGCCTCCTCCTCCTCCTGGAGGAATTCTCGAACCTCGAGCCTCGATCTTCATCCCCCCCGTATCCGAGTGTAACTGCAGGCAGCCCGCGCCCCACCCCGCCTCCCGCCCCCAGAACCCCTCCTCGGCCAGGGTCCCGGCCCGCAGCAGCTGCTCGTAGAGCGCTGCCGGGAAAGGGTGTTTCTTTTTCTTCTGGATGGCCATATCCTGCGGGAGGGAGAAGGGGAAGGAGGAAGCGGAGCAGGAGCAGGAGGAGGGAGGAGGAGGAGGAGGAGGAGGAGGAGGAGGAGGAAGAGGAGGAGGAGGAGGAGGAGGATGCAGGGCGCGTTCATATTTTCCTCTCTTTTCCTCGAGGGGCCAGAACCAGATTATGTAGGAATCGACAGCCAGCTGAGATCTCAGCGAATTGGGAAGGCAGCGCGGAGGATTCGGCCTCGAGCCGAGGTCAACTGAGCAGAGGCTTCGCAACAGCACCGCCGTGAACCGAGGCGGCACGCTGCGACACGGCGAGGAGGTGGAGGGGAGGAGGAGGTAGACTTGAGCCGCAACACCAGCGGCCGACGAGCACGCACGCCCAGCAATGTACTTCGGAGAAGCTCGCTCTGCAGGGCGCGCTCATATTTTCCTCTCTTTTCCTCGAGGGGCCAGAACCAGATTATGTAGGAATCGACAGCCAGCTGAGATCTCAGCGAATTGGGAAGGCAGCGCGGAGGATTCGGCCTCGAGCCGAGGTCAACTGAGCAGAGGCTTCGCAACAGCACCAATTCCCATTCTATGCCCTGGCCGTTGAGGCCGCCTTCAGAGGGCAAGCAATCACACAAAGTCACTGGCACGCGAGCTGGTTCAGACGACTTGCTTCGATGGCCCCGGCTGAGGCCCACAACCACTTGGCCCCTTCAGTGCACATGCCTGACGGATAGGGCTCGGCGCGGGAGGTCCATTTTTGAGACGACCCCGGGATCGCGCCGGAAAGGTGGACGTGGGCCTCCCCGGAAAAATCACACACACACACACACACACACACACACACACGGGCGGGAAGAACACAGACGAGAGAAAGAGGGAGGAGCAAGCTGGAGGTGCCAGGCCAAAATTTTCGCGCGCTTGCGCCAAGGCACTTTGAATTGGCAGAAATCAGAGACATAAGCTCGGCAGGCGGGATGAGTGGCTAATCTTTTCATGTTAGGTGTGAACCATGCGAGACTACTATTTGGATTCTCGGCGACCGCCGGGACCCGGGCCCGAATACACGAGCCAACGATCCGGCACGTGGCGAGGAGGGAGCGGTTTCCCGCCAAGGCCCGCTCGAGGCCCACAGGGTCCAGGTCGGGTCGCCCAAAAAGATTGGAGTGGGTTCGGTACCGCCCGCGGGAGGCGACGCTCCAAGTGGAGCAGGGAAAGGCCAGCCAGACTCCCCGGACCAGCTTGCTGCTGATCCACCCCACGATCAGATCCACGACCACGGGGTTGTTGAGGTTAAAAGCGGGGTTAAACTTAGCATCGACCTCAATGACTCCCCAACCGCCACACTTGCGAAGACCGCGAGCGATACCCCCAGCCCCCGAGAACAAATCAAGAAAAACTTGGCCTTTGCGGGGAGCAGCGGCGGAGGCGGCCGAAAAGGCTTGAGACCATGCTCGGTGGATGGCGCCCCGGCTCAGGCGAGTCGCGGAGTCGAGGGTGTCGCCAGCCTTCCAGAGTCCAGCACCTCGGGCGGCGGCGCTCAGCCCCGGCGCCCTGGTGGCGCTTGGCAGCGCAGCCGCCCGGAGAAGAGGCCGGCGAGGTTGGCCTCGACCCACTCGCCGAACGCCTTGATCTCGGGGGGCAGCTTGTCGCACTCGGCCAGGTAGCGGGTCCCCTTGCGGTGCCGGCGCGTGCTGGACTCGCTCAGGTGCCTGAGCCGCTCCTGGACCGCTCCGAACTCCCTCACCTTGAACAGCACGTCGTGGGAGGCGGCCCCGTGGCGGACCTGGCATGGGTGCACGTCCTCGAGCCCCGCCAGGCTGGCGCACGCAGCGAAGTCCTGGCGGAACTTCGGGCCGGAGAACGGCCACAGAGGCTTGTCCGCCTGGCTCCGCGACTTCAGGGCCTTCAGGGCGAAGCTCACGCTCTGCGCGGCCTCCGACTCGAGCACCATCCCCTCGTCGAAGTGGCCCGTCTTGCTCCGGTCGGGCAGCTCCTCGGGGAACAGCAGAATGGCCCACCGGTTGATCCGGCTCCGCCGAGCAGGCGCCACCAAGGACCCACCCACCATGCCAATCAGGTCGCTGGGCAACCTGAGGCACGCGCCCCAGGCGACGAGGAGGCCGAGGCAGAAGTCGAGCAAGCCGCAGAACACGCCGGCCCCGATGATCGCGAAGACCCCCTGCTTGGGAAGTGGCCTGCGGGTCTGGCCGGGAGCCATCTTCTTGAATCCCTCGAGCGCGGCTCGGCTGCCCTCCAGGGCCCCTGGCCGCTTCAAGCCCTGGCTCGGGTGAAAGAAGAGGACCGCCGCCAAGGTCTTCTCGCCCTGGTCCCGATTCCAGCCGTCGAAGAACAGGTGGTCCAGATAGCTGGCGAGGGACCGATCTAGGTCGGCCACGGTGCTGATCCTCAGCTCCTCCCCCCGGCTCCAGTCCAGGAAGTCGGTGTAGGCCCGCTGGTACTGCAGCTGTGCCCCGTGCCCCGTGCCCCGCTCGAGGCGCCCCGCGCCCCTGGAGGCTGCGGGCAGATGGCGGCGGCGATGGGCCGCACGACGAGCCTGCAGTGCGGAAGCTCGCGCCGCCCTCTTGGCCCGTGCGGTCCGTCCGCCGCGAACTGCAGCGGCCGCGGTGGCTCCCTGAGCCCGGACTGCTCGAGCGACTGGACGAGGTGGACGAGCTGGCACGGCCACCACCGCTGCCGCCGTTGTCGCCGATGGGCTCGACGTCGCACCCCGCCAGGCCGGCGGGGCGGGCCTCGGGGTCGAGGCCGTCGCCGAGCCCGCAGAGCCCGGACGGAGCTGCAAGCTGTCCGCGGGCCCGCTGCGCGACGGTCCGCTCGAGCTCCCGATCGAAGGCGGCGCCGGCCGAAAGGCTCGCGCCGGCCGCGCCTCCAGGCCTGGCCCAGGCCGCCGGAGCATCGCGGAACGCCCGCCCGCGTGGGTCGCGCCTCCAGGCGCCGGCGCGGGCCGAGAGGCTGCGAGAGGGATCGTCTGCAGGGTTCAACTCTGATGCAACCCATCGGACCACGAATGAAGTGTTTGAGAGAATAGAAAGACACAATAACTCCTGACATGTTCGATTCAGCAGTGGGGATGTCGAACGCCCCTTTCCCGTGGCTAAGACCACAGACATGTTGTCGCACAGAAGCAGATGACGGCGACCGAAGCTGCTGATGTTTCGTAGCTTGTGCCGGGCCCCCATCACAAGGGCCCGCCCCTCCGCCCGCATAATATTATCCGACGAGGCGAACCGGCCGAACAAAACGGTGGACCAGGTGTCGAAACCCCCGATCTGCCCCCCATCGATGTGGAAGAAGTCGGTGACCCCACGGCGGGCTCTCACTTGGGAACTTCGAGGCTTGGAGGGACCCTGAGGGCACAGCCCGAGACTCTGCTCCCGGGCGCAAATGGTATCCTCGACGCAGTGCCTCCACCTCTCCGCACGGCTGGCCACGGCTCGAACTGCCTCCGAGTCCCAAGCCCGCTCGCAGACGCCGAAACCCCCGAAGTCGAACTCGGTGGCCCCGGAGGCGTCGGAGGCCATCACGCACGGGTCGAACGGCCTCTTGGTGTCGACAGCGGCGAACGGCAGAAGCGCTGCCGCGATCCGCAGCTCCCGAGTCACGCAACTCCAAAGACGCCACCGCTGCTCCCCGGCCATTTCACAAAAACGGAAAGCACTGCTGAGGATAGACAAAAGCTCACGTTTCAACAGGAAGGCCCAAGTTAAATGGCCCAGGACCCGGCGCAGCTGGACCCCGGTGCGAATTTTCCACAAGCGCCGGGTCGAAAGCGAAATGATTCCCGAGCTGCGTTCGAACGTGAGGCCAGTAAAAGACTGCTGTTCAGACGCCACGACCATCCCCTTACAAACCAGACCACGGGATCCCAAGAGCTCGACGGCGGACGCACACCCGTCCGAGCAGCACTTTTCGCTGGTCCCGAGGAAAGCGACCCCGTCGACATAGACGGCAGCGAGAGGCCCTTCCTCGAGGCCGGCGGCCGCCCGTCTGTCCTGGACAAGTCTGGAGGGGGGGAGGCCGGAGTCGAGAACAGCTTGTTCTACCATACACTGACAGAAGTATAAAGACCAAGACCAGCCCATGGGTAACACGCGCAGGACGGGCGAGAGCTCCCCCACCCCGCGAAGCCCCCCAGAGCTGCCTGGACAAAGTGCCTCGAGGTGACGACAAGAGACAGGAGGGAGGGCAAAATAATCTTCAATCCCTGCGGGCAGACCGATACGATAGAATGCATTGTCAACGTCTGCTTGGCACAAAGAGAGCTCGCATTGATCTGGCACATATAGAGAGTTCCATGCACTAGCCGTGGGCAGCTGAGAATACTCGGGAGCGTTGAAAAACTCGTTGCTACCCCTAGTATCGAATATCAGTCTCTGCCGGGCGCCGTCACTCTCCCACACGAAGAACACCCCCAGGGTCGCGTCGAGACGGCCCCTCAGGTTCACCAAGCCGGCGCCCTGGAGGTCTAACACGAACTGGGCATAGGTACCCTTCGCACGTAGCCGAGTGTCGACGCGAGGCTTGAATTTCTGCACTGCCTCCCGGCTGACACCGGGCCGCAAAAGATGCTGTCGCCACTCCTTCCAGAAACTTAAAGCCGCGCCGCCGAGGCACCGGCCCCCCTCGGCCAGGACCCCGCCGGTCGGCAGCGAGACGAGGTCTCGCTGGTAAGGAGCCGTCTTCACCGGGTCGCCATACCCGGGCCTGCTCCCGCACAGCTCACTGCAGGCTGCCGCGGGGCCCACCTCCGGGGCGCCGAGTCGCTCCCAACCACGTCGGAGATGCTCGACACCACGGACCTGAGCGAGAGAAAGTTGGTGCGAGACCTGGGCCTCGCCGCGGTTGTACAGTAGGTTGAGGGCAGTCACCGACTCGCGCACGCGCTCGTCGACGAGGGTCCGGCGGAGGGCCCGGCTGCGGACGCTGCGGCTGCAGCGGCCAGCGCCAGGCGGCTCGCGCGGGGCCGAGAGGGCGGCCAGGTTGATAGGCAGCAGCTCGCGAGCGACCACCATCCCAGCCGAAGGAGCCGGCAGGGCACGCCCCGAGGGCGGCTCGGCCGGCGGGTGGCTCCTGTGGGCTACTTGCCCCCGCGGCCGCCACCGCGGCCGCCTCCGGCATCGCCCTCCTGCTGGCCGCCGCCGCCTCCGCCCGCGCCGCTGCCACGGCCCGCCTGGAGCCGCTTGAGCTCCGCCGCCTGCTGCTGAATCTTCTGCTGCAACGACGCCTCGTCGTCGCCACCCCTGCCGGCGCCGCCTCCGCCGCCGCCGCCACCCCCGCCACGGGAGGAGATGGCCCGCTCCTCGCGAAGCTTGCGCCGCTCCTTGAGCACGCCAGCCTCGCGGTGGAGCTCGGCCGTGATGTAGTCCTGGAGCTCCGGCGCGATCATCAGGTGGCCGCGCGTCTCCGAGGTCCCCATCATGAGGTAGTCGTCCTCGGCCCCGTCGATGCCGTCGGGGCGGCCAATGGCCCTCTCGCGGTAGCGGTGCTCGATGAGCTGCGCCCGCCTCGCGATGTACTCGAAGGCGGCCAGCTCGCTGACGTTCAGCTGGTCGAACGACATGGCCACGTCGAACACGCGCATGCATAGTTCGTGCTCGGCGACGCCGGGATCGCTGGCGGAGAGCCCAGTCTCGTGCCTCCACTTCGTGTGGCGCGCCCGTGGATGAGCATCTTGGTCGGCCAAGAAGCGCAGGCACCAGCGAGTGGTCCGAGGGCCGAGCACTGGCCAAAAGGGCCAGCTCGTCTCGCTGAGGAGGTTGACGGCGTCCTTGAACAGTCGGCGCCGCTCCCCTTCGGAGTTGACTTTGATGCTGAGGACCCGGGCGTCCAGGTCCCCGTCGCCCCCGAGCTCGTCGCGCTTCACCACCCTCACGACGTGCGCCTCCGACCCCATCAGCACGAGCCCGAAGCCCCCCGCGACCGCGTACCCGTCGGTCGCGCCGCCGAGCCCGTCGTGGCAAGGATCTCCCAACAGTGCCCGTCAGGCGGCTTAGGCAAGGCCCCATCTGAGACCTCCATGTTAGTCGGAACCTTCGCTGCTCCATCCCCTGATGGCGCTCCCGCCACTGGCCACGGCTGCTTCCCACGGAGCCGCCGGTTCAGGTGACCGTTGGAGAGCGCCTCGGGGCGGCAAAACTGCAAGGCTGCCACGTAGTCGAGCGGAGTCGGCTCCCAGTCGGCGCCGTACACCGAGTGCCTCCTCCGAAGCTTCCGGCCTTCGGAGGTGGAGTCGATGGGCTGGCCCGTCTTGTCGAGCACCACCACTCCAGCCAGCGGCCCGACCGCCAGGAGGTGCGGGTAGATGTCCCCGTCTGGTGTGAGGCAATAGAAGCACTTCGTCACTAGAGCAGGAGGTACTGGGTCGCCGACGACGTCGGTGTACTCCCCGGGCGGGCACTCGCAGATGATGATCCTCACCTGCCAGTCCCGTCCGGCCTGCCAAAGGACGCCGACACGTTGACCAGCCTCCATAGCCCACGGCACAGCAGCAGCACCCAGCGGCAGCGCCGATCAGGAAGCAGAGGGCGCACAGGCCTATGAGGAAGCCCCGCAAGCTGCCAGTGAGCTCCGAGAGAAGAAGGCACCCGCCGGCGTCCTCGTGCCCTGGCACCAGCACCTGGACCGCCTGGGGCAGATGACTGAGGGCGAATGGCAGAGCTTTGGCTCGAAGGAAAGAAATGACCCCCATGCGCTGCTATCTGAATTAGACTTGAGCCGCAACACCAGCGGCCGACAAGCACGCACGCCCAGCAATGTACTTCGGAGAAGCTCGCTCGGAGGAGGAGGGGAAGGAGAAGCTGGAGGAGGAGGAGGAGGAGGAAAAGGAGCGGGGGGAGGGGAGGAGGAGGAGAAGAAAAAGGGTGGGGGTCATCCAGAATCAGGCGGTAGGGGGCTAACCTCCGACCCGAGGGTCACTGCTGACCGCTGCGGATGCTGATCACGCTGGCGACGATGACGGCCTCCTCGCGTCGGTGAAGGTTTTGGAAGTAGTTCGACATGCGCGCGCGGCCGACGCGCGAGAGTGGCCCGCGCTGTGTTATTTGACACGGATCGTGCCCCTCCAGCACGCGCCCAAGGGCGTTCGAATGGTTTCGACATGCGGCGAGGGAGCCCCGTTTGGCCGAATTTGATGACAATATCGAAAAACCATAGTTGTCTTTTGAATTCGCAAGAGCGCGAGCGCACGCTGTTGTTAAAATTAACGTTGCGAAGCCATGTTTTTACATGTCTTCTGGATACTTGATTTTGAAATACCTGCGACACCTCGGGATTCTGAAGGATTTCGGCATGCGCGCGCGATGACGCGCGCGTGTGCACTTCGTCCGATCGTTTGCAAGGGATTATTACGACAGAACGAGCGCAAACGCGTTCGAGCGATTTCGACATGCGCGCGCGAGAGGCCCGTTTGGTAACATAGTATGAACATGTAGGTAAAGAACCTATGGTTGTGTTAAGAATCTGCAAGAGCGCGAGCGACAGCTTTTTGGGAACACTCTTGTTGCGAGACCATGTGTTTATATATATATATATGTGTGTGTGTTCGGGGCACGCGATTTTGAAATCCGTGCGAAACCTAAGATGTTTGAAAGATTTCGGCACACGCGCACGACGACGCGCGCATGTTCACTTCGTCCAGTTATTTGCAATGGGTTCCTGGAAACTCATGATGTTTGATAAACGAGTGCGCGCGCATAGAAATTACTATTTGCAGAGGATGGGGGGGTGTCGATACCAGCCTGGCTGGGATGGTATGAATTCACACTCAGGATGGACGATGGGGCAGAATCATCATCTAAACTGCAATACGAAAAGGGGGGCGCCTAAATTTAGGGGCTTAGATCCTAGTACGCTTGTAGACAAGGAGAGTATACCTGGCGCATGTACGCTGTGCAAGCTACGCGGTGTTCAAGCGATGCGGTGCAACATACGTGCTGCAGGCTTTGTGGTACAAGTCCCATGGTGCAATCTACGTAGAGCACACCACGTGGTTAGAGGACAAAGAACTATGCACATACACCGATTCTCGCCAGGCCCATCCTGAGCCCAGGATCGGTGCATACTCCCTGCTACCTTGGCCAGGAAGGCATATGCACCGATTCTGGGTCAAGGATGGGCCTTGCCAGGATCGGTGCATGTGCATAGTTCTCGTCGCCCGAGTGGTGCGAGGTATGACGTGTGAGGCAAGCTACCCTGGGCGGTCCCGGGCAGCCGCGGGGCGGCCACTGGGCGGTCACCGGTCAGATCCAGGGGTTACCCACCCGATGCCTTAGTGAAACAGACGGGCCAAGTACTACTTCGAAGGATTGCAAAAAAACGAAGGATTGCAAAAAAACCTTCGTTTTTTGCAATCCTTCGGTTTTTTTGCAATCCTTCGTTTTTTTGCAATCCTTCTGGAGAAGCAGCAAGCCATGCATGCGCAGAGCTCCAACGGACCCTGCCTGCCACGGGCGACGAGGCGTGTGAGAGGATTGGCACACGAGCTCGTCTTCGCATGCCTGGGGCCCTCGGAGCCTCCGAGCCCACCGCCCCCGGACTCCAAGACTTCCAAGATACCTTCTCTCTAAGATGGCTCAACAAGGGCTCGAACACGCCAGAGAGGCCTCAAGAACAACCACGATCGTGCACACGACATCACAAGATGGCCCCAAAGTCAACCCCCAAGAGAGCCTCCAGAGGCGAAAAAAAGTGTCTCCCTTCAGTTTCCCACATTCTAAGACGGGGTAATTGTTTTCCATATCCAGAGATGGCTCTCGTGATCAGCGTGACGCCTCCGCCTCCTCCTCACTCACCCGACTCCCTCGCACATTCGTTCTCATCTCAGCTTAGATCACAACCGCGCCCACGACAGCACAAGCACAAGAGCGTCCTGGGGGCCGGGCGGGGTCCCGCGGGACCATCCGTCGACTGGAGGCCCGCGGTGGGCCCGTGCAGCCGCAGTTCAACCGAGACCATTCGGGGAGAGCTCTGCAGAACCATCGCGCCCAGAGCGCCCCGAGCTCGTCCTGGGAGCCTGCATGAGCCCCGCAGAACCAAGGCATCACCATGGTTCAGAGGGACACGGAAGATAGATGCCTCGATGCAGCGTCGGCATGCTGGCGGGGCCTGCCACAGGCAGCCAGAGAAAGGGACGAGCAGCAGTGGTGGGAAGGGGCGCAGGGCAGGGTTGGGGCTTCAGATGTGATGCGAGCGCGCACGCAGTGCCCCCCCTCCCCTCCGCCCGTTTCGATGATCCCCTCTTACTTCCATCGGCTTGAGCCAGTTGACCCACGCCCGCCTAGATCAGAGCAGCGAGCTGCGAGCACCGATTCGTCCCCCACCCCCCACAGTGACAGCCGCCTCGACCTGAAAACCGAGCTTCGAACGCTGCTTCACCCCCACCGCCTGTTGTACCCCCCCCGTGTTTCCCCCCTCTCAAACCTCCCCTCTCCCCTTTCCCCCTTCTTTCCTCCCGGTTCCCCCCCCCCCCCTGACTTGAATTAGCTTCGACCCCGCCCGCCTGGATCTGAGTAGCGAGCGCCGAGCGCAGCTTCACCCCCGCCGCCTTCGTGTCCAACTCGAACTCAGCCGGGCGGCTCTGGAAGAAGATCGCCATAGTTTCCTCGGACCAAAGCGGCTTCATCAGGGTCCTGCCCCGCCCGTGCGGGAAGGAAAACGAGGGGGAGGAAGACGGAGAGGGGGGGAGAGGGGGAGAGGGACAAGCAAGGTGCGCTCGCGTCATATCTGACGTCCTATCCCTGCCTCCCATCCCTTACCATTGCGCTGATGCTTCCTCTATCCGCGGACGCGTGTCATAGCGGACCTAGAACTCCGAGAAAGAACCCATCATGTCATGCGTAGCCACACAATGGGAGCTGCGTGCAGAGAAGGAGAAAGAGGAGGAGGAGGAGGAGGAGGAGGAGGAGGAGGAGGAGGAGGAGGAGGGGAAGGAGAAGGAGGACGAGGAGAAAGAGAAAGAGGAGGTGGCGGATGAGCAGGAGGACGAGCAGGAGGAAGAGTAGGAGGACGAGGAAGGAGGAGGACGACGACGACCAGGACGAACAGCAGCAGCAGGAGCTGGAGTGGAAGCAGCCGAAGGAGCAGGAGGACAGGGGAAGGCGGAAGGGCGGTGAAGGGGCGACGAAAATGAAGAAGGACTTAGGATCCAGAAAAGTGGCCCGCGCTGGGGCGAGAGCGCCCGCCTGAACGACGGGAGCAAAGCGCCGATCCGACAATGAGGCCCATGCTGCAGCGGAAGCACCACTTTGAAACTCCAAAGACAATCGGATTGCGAAACAAATGTAACTACAAAAAAACAACTCCTGAGGAGAGAGAAAAAAGATAATAGAAAAGAAATACGCGGAGAGGGCCGTACACCTGCCAGACGGACTCAAGGGAGAGAGGAGAGTAGTATTCATGATATGTAGCTAGTGGAGTGTGGAGAAGAGAGGGAGGCGAAGGGGGATGGGGAGAGGGAGATGGAGAAGGAGGGGGGGAGAAGGGGAGGGGGAGGGGGAAAGTGAAGGTGAGAGGAAGGGGGATGGAGAAGGAGGCAGGGCGAAGAGGAAGAGGTAAGTGGAAGAACGAAAGGGGGCGGGGACAAAAAGGGGAGAAGGCTTAGGTGTTGTAAAAAACGCTGGGTTGGGTCCCCCGTTTTCCAGACCGTGGTGTTGTTTCCGCTGTGGGGTCAAGTTTCTCAATTTGGGATTCTCGTTCGCGCCGTTTTCGGTTCGGCTCCGTTTTGAACTGCCGTGTGTTGCCATGGTTTGGGGAGGAAGGCAAGATTGGTGCGGTCTCGCCATACCTGACAAACAGAATCCTCCCCATGTGTTTCCATGCAGTTGAGCCACCTCTGTTCGCAGAGTCGGATGTCGAAGAAGAAACAATTCCGAAACCGCAAGATGTCCTAAGAGGCGGCAAACGCTGAACCGGGAACACAATTTTTTGCTGATGCGGTAGTACGGCCAGCGCGACTGCGAGAGCGTCGTTCCGTTGGGCGGAGGGCGTGTGTGAACCGCTGCATGGGGAGAACGCTGCAGCGCGAACACAACTCTTGATGGGGCCCCAGGGCCCCAGAGACCCCACCACCAGGGGCCTCCGGAGGCCCAAGAAGCGCCAAGAACTGCCGAGAGCGCCCACCAGAGGCCCCGATCCTCGAGCCCCCCGCTCCTCACCCCTCCCGTCCTCCCCCGCCCTGCCCTGCACAGACGTCCGCATCCTCCACCCCTAGGGAGCCCACAAAGGACGTACGCGCCCACCTATGTACATGAACACGGCCCCTCGATCCGCGAGACCGGCCGCGTTATACGAACATTTGCGCAATGCGAACTCTCGAAACCAGCGTGGATTCATGTACATGTCCGTTCTTTTGCCGCTCCTGAACCTCCCTCTCACTTCACAGGGGGCCCCCGACAGCGGCCCCCCGCCCGCCCCCTCGAGGGCTGCCGAGGGCCGCCGAGGGCCGCCGAAGGGCCGCCGAAGGGCCCCGGTGCTCGCCCTGCCCCCGCCCGGTCGGGGCGGGCGTCTCGCGCCGCACGGCACGGCGGGGCCGCAGCCACGGCGAGCCGAGGCGAGCACGACGGGCCCGCAGCGGGGGGGGGCCGTGGAGCTGAGGAGCGATGCGCGGGGCGTTCCAGCAGGTGACCCATCGCAGGAGACGTGGAGGAGGAGGAGGAGGAGTAGGAATGGGAGGAGGAGGAGGAGGAGGAGGAGGAGGAGGAGGAGATGGGAGGAGGAGGAGAGGAGGAGGAGGAGGAGTAGGAATGGGAGGGAGGAGGAGGAGGAGGAGGAGGAGGAGGAGGAGGAGGAGGAGGAGGAGGAGGAGGGGGGAGGAGGAGGAGGAGGAGGAGGAGGAGGCGAGAGGTGAAGGAGGAGGGAGGATGGGGAGAAGGGGGAGATTGCTTGGTGCTGTGATCCATGGATGGGCGATCATCGCCCTAGGAGGCTGTATGGCCAGGCCCGCTGGCGAAATAGCCAGGGCCTCGCTGCTCCCGGAGCGCGCTCCAGGGCCCCCAGGCGCGCATCAAGGCCCAGCCCCGACGCGCGGGAGGGCAGGAAACAGAGGCTCCCGACGCTCCGCCCGGGCTGCGGCCAGGGGACCCAGGCTGCAAACTGGCCCACATCCGTCGAAGCTGGAACGCTGCCGTCCCAGCAGACGCAGCCGCAACGGCCGGCTTCTTGTTCGAAGCTCGTGCAGCAGCCGAGTGCCCAGGAAGCACGCCTTCCCCGGAGGCACGAGGAGATTCTGCGCCCCTGCGCTGCCGAACTGGTGTCGACAGGGTCCTCGCAGGGATCTGAGCTGGGAGGTGGCGACCGCACCACGACTCGCGCTTCACCCAAGGCGGCACGACTCGCGGAAGAACAGAGCGTGAGAGGGATGAGGCGTGAAACGTCCAAACCCGACAGGCGCACGGCACCGAGCGCCCCCCGGCAACGCGGGCTGCGAGCGCACTGGCCCGCGGAGGGCCGAGCCGAGCCAGGCGAGGGCGCGACGACGTGGCTGCAGCACGCACACGGCGCCGCAGCAGGTGCACTCCGCCCTGGTCGGACCAACGTGTGCGCACGCCTGCGCGCTTTGCCGAAGCGGACCGACCGGGCCGTCCGAGTCCGAGCGGGGCGGCCCTGCGGCACGCCGGGCGGCGCGCGGTGCGGGTCCCGCTGGCTGGCATCCAGCGAGGCGGCGCCCGGCCGCCTCCGCACCCGTGCGGCCCGCGCCTCCAGACCGACAGGACGACCGCCCGTCCTGGTCGGGGAGCTGCGCCCGCACTGCCGCCTCGCCAGCGAGGTCGTCCGCGCGCCCGTTGCCGAGGAAGGGGAGCCAGGCCTCAGCGCCCTCCTGACGGACCGCCCGGCGGTCACGGTGGGTCTCGACCTTCGCCACCTGCACCTCGCGCCTAGGCCTGGCGAGCTCACCATCGACGAGCGCTGCTGGAGGACGGAGAGGCACTGCACGACTTCAACAACTGCGGTGGATACCAACTCAAGCTTCGACGCATACGCGCAGCAGAAATAGCATCAGCAGCCACTATGAACTGCATCCGCAGAGCACGGGTGTGTGTGTGTGAGGGAAAGAGAGAGCGAGAAAGAGATAAAGAGAGAGAGAGAGAGAGAAAGAGGGGGAGAGAGAGAGAGAGTGGAAGCCAGAGGCCTCTCTGGAACTTAGAGCGACCCGAGGGGCTCCCCTGGAGGAGCAGCTCCTCTGGAAATACTTGACGATCTCGGCATCCTCCCGCAGCTTGGCCAGGGGGACCTGCCGCCGCTGTCCCCAGGGCGGGCCGAAGGAGGCCCCGCCCCGTGGTGCCGCTGGCCAGCCCTGGTCTGGCTATCCGCATCTTCATCATCCTCGTTTTGCGCATCATCCTCGTCCACGTCCTCACCATCACCGTCACCGTTACAAACAACGACCATCTCTCCCTCCGTCCTCATCGTAAGTATGTTCCCCAGCGTGACCGTCGTCGTCATCGTAGTCGCCATCATCATCATCATCATCATCATCATCATCATCATCATCATCATCATCATCAACATCATCATCATCAGCATCATCATCATCATCATCAATATCATCAGCATCATCAGCAGCATCAGCATCAGCATCATCATCATCATCATCATCATCATCATCATCATCATCATCATCATCATCAACAGCATCATCACCATCATCAGCAGCATCATCAGCATCCGTAGTTACATCATCCTCATCATCATCAGCCTGAGAATAATAATAATAATAGTACTAATAAAAATAATAATGATAATAATAATCATAATAATAACCATGATCATTATCTCGTCATCTCATCAGCATCATCATCATCATCATCAGCAGCAGCAGCATCCTCATCGTATTCATTTGCATAAGCATACATCATCATCAGCATCATCATCATCATCCTCATCATCATCCCCATCATCGTCATCATCATCGTCATCATCATCAGCATGTTCCTCCTCGTCGTCGTCATCCCCACCGCCACCAACACCATTATCATCATCATCATCATTATCATCATCAGCCGCATCATCATCAGCACCATCACCACCATCATCGTGACTCGTGATCATCATCATCATCATCACCAGCAGCATCATCAGCTGAATCGGCGTTATCGTCACCATCAGTATCATCATGATCGTCATCCTCATCGTCGTCGTCGCCGATGTCACCACCACCACGAACATCAGCATCATCATCAGCATCGTCATCGTCATCATCAACATCAGCATCGTGATAATCCTCATCATCAACATCAGCATGTTCGGCATCATCAGCATCATCAGCATCATCAGCATCATCAACAGCATAATCAGCAGCATCAGCATCCGCAGCATTAGCATCATCCTCATCAAAACATCATCATCACCATCACCACCATCATCATCAGCATCATGAGTATCATCATCAGCATCATTGCCATCACCATCATCACCATCATCATCGACACCATCATCACCATCAGCAACATCTTCATAGTCATCGCCATCACCGCCACCGTCACCAGCACCATCAGCATCGTCGCCACCATCACCACCAGGGACAACCTAACCTCATCAGCAGCAACAACCATATCGTAATCGTGGCCTCCAGTTTTCCCAGAGACGGAAGCAGTGTGGCGCGCGGGGCTCGTGGGCGCCTGATGGGCCAGGGTATTCATGGGCGCCTCGTAGGCGATTCGCGCGCTGGCAGGCGTGTGCGGATGCACACATAAATTGCACCACCCAGCTTGCACCACATAGATAGCACCACATAGTTAGCGACCTTCAGATTGGACGACGCAGATCGAACCGCACGGATTGCACCGCAATGCGTGCGGGCGCCACAGGTATTCTTCCTCACAGAACAAATAAAACTCGACCCCCCCCCCCCAACCACCACCCACCGAAGCCAGGGTTATCCGCCCCCCTTCCGCGTGTGTTTTCAATTTCGGCGTCGAGCGAGGGAGCGAGGCGAAAAAGAGCAGGCCCTCTCAGATGGCGGCGGGGCTTCTCAGAAGGCCTCCAGCCTTCTGAGAAGTTTATTGTCTTCGGGGAAAGCTTAGAAAACTTCTCAAAAGGTCGGGAGGGCCTTCCGAGACTTCTGAGAAGGCACGCCCCGTCTCACTTCCCCCCTGGGCTCGCCGCCGACAATTCAAGTGTATGATGTCCGATGGCTCATCCCAAATATCAAACAGTCGCATGCCAGCTATCTCCTACAAAAACATACGAATGACAAAAATGTTTCAGATGGCGATACATTGCAACAAAAGCATGACGGGCGCATGGGCGCGCGGCCGCGCGCAAGTCAAAATCATGCAAAAGCAGTTATCGTGTTCAGGCATGGCAAACTAACAGCACAATTGCCCAGCACACTGCGCGCGCACTCGCTGAAATCTGAAGAAAACTGCACGTCTCGAACCATAATGTTACATGAGACCGCGTGCGCCACTCGCGCGCGAATGTCAAAACGTTCAACCATTACCAAGCGCCCACCAACTCTGTCAAAGCTGATGGGACAAGAACGGAAAGCGCCGATTTTGTCCATTGGACTCGTAAGGACGATGGCGACGACAGGACGGCGGATGACGAGGATGGATGACGGGGAGGGCAAAGATGCGAGCAGGAGGACAACGAGTAGGAAAACAAGCACGAGGACGAGGAAGCGATGGAGGACGACCCCGAGGAGGAACGGAGCGGGGGATGAGGAGGAGGAGGACGACGACGACGAAGAGGACGGTATGGAGCCCGAGGAAAAGGACGTCGAAAAGGGGGGGGCTCGTGATCTGTTGAGGCAACCTTGGGGGCTGTTGGGACCATCTGGAGCTATCTTGGGGCATCCTGGGAGCCTCTTGGGGGCCTGTCAGGGCCCTCTTGGGGACGACTGCGGTCGTCTTGGGCTGTCTGGGCGTGTCTAATATTTCTGTGGGGGCTCTCTCAGGCTGCTTCTTGCCATCTTCGGCTCTCTTGGGCCGTCTCGGGGCCTTCTGGGGCCCTCTTGGGGGCCTTTTTGTTGAGCAGGGACCGACCGTCCCGGCAGTCCTATAGTCATACCACGAAATGTTCTTGGAACCCCAAAATGATCTAAGAACAAAAACAGTGTTCTTAGAACATAAACCCGATGTGATAAAACAAGACAGACTCCGCCAGAAATGTTCTGAGAACATTTCGTGGAAACCGCAAAAAGTTCTTAGAACATTGTTGTTCGGTGGGGCGATAGGCGAGTCAGGACGCTTCGCCGCTGCTTGCTTTTGTGGCCATCTGTGGGTCCTCCCAGGGTCCTCTTGGGGCTCTTTTGGGGCCACGGCGGGCCCCTCCGAAAACAAATCCGAGACGAAGCCCCCCTCCGAAGCCACTGCGTTGTCTGCCGTGCTGGTCGGCCGCGCTCCCGTGTTCTGCCGCTCTGCTGTGGCATGCCGTGGTGCTCCGCCATGCTTCGGGGATCTTCTGACCCGGGTCAGTCCAGACCCGGGTCAGCGGAAAACCAAAAACCGCAGTGCAGAAAAAACAACTGCAGCGCAGGTCTTCGCAGACCCGGGTCGGCCAATACGCGCGGCCGCCTCGCGGCCACGAGCGACTCGCTAACCCAGGTCAGCCAGAGGGGGTCTTCGCAGGATCCTGCAGGATCCGGTGCCGTGGCTGACTCCCGTTTGCAGGGACCCCCGTCTCAAAGTTCCCGAATGTTCATATGGTCAGCTGTGCCGGCTTGTCGTGCTGATGTAGTCTGCCGTGCTGGTCTGGCGTGCTCCTGTGGTCAGCAGCGCTGGTCGGCCATGCTGCCATAAAGACCGAAAACGGCTGAAAAACTCGTCCCTCGATCGCCGCGAACGACGACGAAGGTTGCATGACTTGTGTTGCCTGTTTGTACGGATCGGGAGGATATCATCAGTGGGCCAAGACAGGCAAACTGGGAGGCGGCAGGCAGCAGATCGCCACCGCGACTCAAGCAGACTCGATCGGAAGAAGCCCGCTAGGGGAACTAAAACTATATGTCTGCGCGCATCTCGTGGATCGGCGAAAAACGCCCCTGCCCTGGCGCACAAAGCGCGCCAGGGGCCCGCCAGGGGCGGCGCAAGAGGGGCTTCAGGCCCGACCCACGAAATAGGCGCGGACCTCCAGAAGTCAGTGTTTACGCCGTTTCCCCCACGCCCCTCGTTCGAGGCAGGCAGCAGACCACCACCACGACGGAAGCAGACTCGACAGCACGAGGCATGCCACACGCGCGCCCGACCAAGGAGGCGGACTCGCCGCCCTCCCTGGAAATGGCCGTGGTGAACAGCTCATCCATGCTCCTTGGCAACGGCGCAGGCTGGTGGCACCGTGGCTTCGGAACTCCACCAGCCAAACTCGGGGGCGCCCAAGAGGGGGCGTCCAAGAGGGAAGGTGGCAAATCACGGCCCGAGGCGCACACGCGGACCAGGGGAGGCCAGGGGATGCGCTGACAAGAAAAGTTGGGACATCAAAGCTTGGCATAATCGTGGTCCTGGCCATGATATCCACCCCTCCGAGTCATCTGCCCCCCATGGCCGCCCCCGACAAACCAACTCCCCCCTTTCCGTCGCCCCCCTGCTTGTCGGGGGGAGAAAGCGAGGGAGTAATTTGGCTGGCCCCGGCCCCCTCCCCCTTCCACCCTCCCACACGTCCAGAATCTCGTGAAGGGGGGGATCCCCACTCAGGCTCATCAACCTCCAGTATCACAATCCACCCTCCGTGGCCTCCAAGATGCCCAAGATGTCTAAGATCGGAGGTCTTCAACACCCCAGAGAGGCCTCAAGAACACCCAGGATGGCCTCAAGACAACCCCAAGACGGCCCAAGCGAGCCCGACATTGACCCCATAGAGAGCCTCAAGACGCACAAATCATTCCAATAGGTTTTCGAATAATGTTCGTGTTCTGGCCCTTCGGGCTTCCGAAAACCCGAGACACACCGAGAGGCCCCCAGACCGGCCGAAGACGGCCCAAGAGGCCCCCCAAGACGGCCCAGAGGCGGCACTAGAGGCCCCCAAGGCGGCCCAAGATGCCACCAGGGCCGTCAACAAAGAGGCCTTCAAGAGAGCCCCAAGAGGGGCCCAGGAGGAGCCCAAGAGAGGCCCAAGAGGGGGAATTCGCAGGGGGGCCTTGGATCCCTCCCCCACAAGATGGCCCCCAAGGCCTCCAGAACGCAGAACGCAGCTGTCCACGCCAGGGAGGGCGGCCCGAAGACAGGCGACAGGCGTGCTTAGCGCGTTGGTCCATCGAGAAGGACTGGTGCAGCTGCTGTGAAACATGACGCGCGAGAAGGGAGCGGCACAGCCAGACGCTGCGGCGTGACGCAGCCAAACGCTGCCGCGAAGAAGCCCAAAGCCCCATAGAGGACCCCAAGAAGCCACCAAAGAGCCTCGGAAAGCCCCCAGTTTGGACGCCCGAAATGGGTACCGAAAACATGGGTACAATGCCCAACAGCAAATGTTGTCCCAAACCAACAGCGGCCGCTGTTGGGCGGGCGGCCTCCTGTCTCAAATGGACACAGGCCGCGGCGGCGCGGACAGCGAGTCCTGTTCAAAATGAGCAGGAACTGCTGTTGAGCATCGTACCCATTCTTTCCGTACCCATTTCGGGCGTCCAGACCCAGGAGCCCCGACAAGAGGCTCCCAGGAGGTCGCCCTGCAGGGCCTCCGAGAGGTCCCAAAGAGGCCACGGATGAGGCAACGCCTGCGGCGCGCGGGCAGCACGACGGAAGGCCGCGCGCATCTCTCCTTCGGGGGCCCGAGGAATGGCGTACAGTCGGGGCCTTGACCTAAGGAACCCAAAATAAGGAACGAGGCCCCTTTTTTCCATAAGTTAAACTTCGATTTCGTATCGAAAACCTAAGAAAAATCCGAGGCAAGCTGCGAAACACTTAAGGAACACGGAGCCCCTCCCCAACGAAAAGGGTTCCTTCTTCAGGGCCCCGACTGTACGAATGTGTTTCCTGCCCACGATCATTCTCATCCTCCTCCCTGAAGGGGGAACGACAGGAAGGGACTGGCTCTGGGGGGGGAAGCATCGACCTGGAATCGGCAACACATCGCCGAGGGATTGGCGATGGGCCCGCGGTAGCGAATCCGCACGCTTCTGGGCGGGGTAGGCTATCGGACCCCCATCGGCGAGCAGTGGGCGATTGGGGGTGGATGCATCCTCCCCTGAGCTGACTCCCCCCCACCTCCTCCTCCTCCTCCTCCTCCTCCTCCACCACCTCCCCCTCCTTCTCGGCCAGGGCTGGGAAGCTTTGCTTGTCGCGGCGACGTGAGCGGACCACCGAAGACTCAGGACGAGAAGCAAAAAGCTGCCGCGGAGGAGGGAGCAGCACAGGAGAGTGCTCAGAACATTTGCAGCACCCCACGC